GGTCGTCGTCGTCGTCGTCGTCGTCGTCCTCGTCGCCATCGTCCTCGTCGTCGTCACCATCGTCTTCGTGTTCGCCCTCTCTCACCTCGCCCTCCATCCCCCCGTCGTCCGTTTCCGCAGGCCTTCACCCCTCCCACCACCACCCTGGAGGCACCCAACACGCGGCCAGAATAAGTTCAGTCGGGGACGCCGCGATGAAGAAAACCAAGTTCCTGATCGCGCCGCATCGCCGATGCGTCGGCGACATGGTGCCAACTTCGGGCCCCAATAGCTCCAACCTTCTGGAAACCCTCGATACCGTCCAAACCGGCATCTCCTGAATGGGACAACTTGGGCTTCCGCTGGTGGAGCCGTCCTCGTTCTGCTTCCGCCAGCTGCCGCCATGGAAGAGCAGTCAACCGCCCGATTCATCGAAGGGAAACCCTTTCCAAAACGCCCTATGTACACCCGCCTGCTCTGCTCTCCTGACTGCCCGACTTCGCCGCCGCACGCCCAACCCGGCCGACGCAGACTGAGCGGCCGACATCACCACCACCCGCAAATCCGCGCGCCGCTGCAGGACCTTCCAGAGGGGCGCGCGGCCGGGGGGCGCTGGGCGGGTCACGCGAGTGCGTTCCAGAGGACGTGCGCGCGCCCCAGATGCACGACTCGCGGACGCGCTGATCGCAGTCAGCGTGTCTCGAGAATCCTGCTCCTGCTCCTCCTCGCTGTCGGCGTCGTCCTGCTCTATCCTGCTTCATCTCCTCTTCTTCTTCTTTCCCAACCATCCTGTGGTGCTGGGTCCTCGTTTTGAAGAGACAGCGCCCCGCGTCTCCTTCCCTCCCGCTGCCCTCCCCGTTCTCCCTCCTCATCGTCATCGTCACCATCCTCATTCCCCACCATCCTGCGGTGTTGGGTCCTCGATTTGAAGAGACACCGCCTCGCGAACCTCCTACTACTCCTCCTCCAAACCTTGTCTGCTGTCTTTTGTAATGGCGGCGGCTAATGCGTCCCTCGTTGAATCGGCTTGGTGCGTCCCATCGGTGTAGAGGTGGATTCGCTTGACTCTGCCGGACGGTCCGTTGTTGTCGTCTGTCGTCCGTGGGAGTAGCTCCTCGGTTACGATCTCTCCCGCATGGAGCAGGGTCGTTTAGCGGTGGAGCTTTGTTTATGTGGACCTGGATCACTGCAGCCTGCTGAGCGCCTGCTGCGCGCGAACCCAATGCGAGGCTGAGGGCGCTGTCGGTGCCGTAGCCGTGACATGTAATCGCACCCGCGGTCTCGATGTCAAGCTGCCCTGGAGGTTGGAATGGGCGACCCTCGTCCGGGTTCTTCCTCGTCGGGCTGGTGGCTCTCGACTTCGATTCCGTGCCCTGTCAGGATGGTCGGTGCTCGTTGGCGCCGTTGCTACTGGTGGGCTCGTGAGTCGCCGTTTGTTCACTGTGTCGTCTCTGTTGCTGCCACCCGGGATGGGCGGAGCGCTGGTAGATATTGCAATCCGCCGGAGCGGTGCCACACCAGGTCCCCCGGTAGAGGTTGGGCCGTGGGGCGCGCCTCTGACTGACCGTTGGGTTGGGTCTGGTGAGGCGCGTGCGCACTGCGTGACGCCTGCGGTGGGGCGTACCCGTTTGGGTTAACGCTATGGCTGCGTGGTGCACCAGGCTGCGCGAGCTTCGTGCATCCTCGCGCTGCCGTCTAGCTGTCAGTCTCCAGTTATGGATGCGAGTCCAATCGGACGAGCCGCGTCGTCGCTCGATGGTAGGTCGGTCGAGAAAAAGGGCGATCAGCGTCGGGCCGCCAGGGGAGATGGTGGCTCTCCTCGTTTTCCTGGCGCTCGAGCTTCTCGTTGTTGGGGCTGCGTGCTTGCGTTCGGGTGGTATGGGTGCCCCTCTTCTGGCGTGCCCGTGATGGTCCTGCGTGGTGATAATAGCGCCTGCGGTGCCATCTCTTCGATGATTGCCAGGTCGTCGCCTCTCTTCTTTGGTATCGATAGCGTGTCCAGGACCACGACGTCTGGGTCTTTCTCCCCCTGGACTGGAGTTAGTGATGCAAAGTCGGTCTCGGTTTCAATGTCGCGGCGATCTGTCTTTCCTGGCGGTGCTGATCTTTGGTTTACACGCGTCGCTGGCAGCGGAATATCGCAATCTTGGCCCCCAAGTGGTGGGTCCAGCGGTTTCGTGCCGCGCGTAGGAGTCGTCGAATGTAATTGATGATGTCGTGCATGTCATTGCCGTTCCGCTGGTAGCTGGTCGCCTTGGCAATCGTGCTGCATCGGGCTGGCCGCAAATGTCTTCATATTGTCGGCCTTCCTGGCCGCCCCATCGCTCTGTGTCTGGACGGGTTGCGTAATGCCAGGGGGCGGACTTGGCGAAGGCATGGGCTTTGCCGGCTGCGTGAAACTGACGACCGACTCGTCGTCGCTGGGGATCTCTGTAGATAAGGCCTTTTCATGCTGGTCAAGCATCTCCACCTGTCGACGCCATTGTTGTGCATGAGCTGCGGCTTGCGGGACGTAGACGTACTCCTGGCGGCCTCCCCAGTGCGTTTCTGATAAATATCGTTCAATTCTCCAAATTGGTTATTTTTTATTGTATATGTTGATCTCGTGCTGGTGGGCCTTGCTCTGCTCGTAGGAGCCGATTTCTGCTCGTTGGAAACTAGGTTCGAATCGACTTTTGCCTGAACTGCATGTTGCGGCGCCTGCTCCTGGTATTCGTTCATTCCCGGGACCGCCATGCTAGTTATTGCTCGTGTTGTTGAGCTTATTCAACGTATCTGGTTTGCGCCTGCATTGCAATCTCGGTGACTTTGCCGGAAAGCGGGCTCCACTCGCCTGATGCGGCGTTGTATTTCAATGCGCGCGTCGCTGGGGAAATTATTCTTGCTGTCCTGTTGCTTGCGGAACTCAAGCTGCTCGTTGTTGGTATTGACGAGGTTGCCGAACTTCGGTTTGGCCTCATTGTTGTTGGGCTTGACGTCGTGGGCGATTCGTTGGTTGTCCTCCCTCAGCGTCATCAGGAGCGCGCGCCGCTGTCTTTTCTGTCGGTTGATTCCCCAACCCTTCACCGTCTCCATGGGGCCAATGTTGCCGCGCCCCTTGGTTGGCAATCTCTGTGGGATGGCTCCGCCTCGTCGTCAGCGGGCCCTGTGTTGTTGTAGGCGTCGCCCCTTGCGTTGTTGATGCTCCTCCTGATGGCCTGGATCTCGGTGATTTTCCTTCCACCATTTGTCGGTCGAATCTACCTCCTTGCCGTGCGCTTTGGTGTGCTCGAAGTGGTCCTCCATGACCTCCTTGGTGCGTTCAATTTCCCTGGCCTGTTGGGCGAGCGGCGTGCTGCTGGTGATGATGGCCCTGATGAAGGCGATGTGGGTCTCGGCGTCAGTGGTCGGAATCCTGGCGGCACTATTCTAGGTGATGGCCGCTGCTGACCGTCGTTGCTCTGTAATGTTGGGATTCTCCCACTATTATTTTAGCTCGGGGTCGTCTGGTGGTGTCTCCAACTCTGGTTCTCTGCTGGCGTGAATCTTCAACATGGGCATGACGTTGCCGATGGTCCTGCTGGTGTGGTCGTTGTGCTCCTGGCTGGCGTCCCGCTGCTCCTTCTTGGCGTGGGAGTCCTCTTCCTGTTGGCGTTGGTGTTTTGCTTTGCCCTTGTCAATTTTGTTTTTTGTCTGCCAATCTGGCGGGTGTCGCCGTCCTCGGTGTAGTCGTCGTGCGGCTTGGGGAGACTGCCCTTCCCCTTGGCGGTGGTGCCCTTGCCCTTGCCTTTGGTGCCCTTGCTCCAGTAGGCGTCGGGGTTCTGATTTGCTTACTGTGCAGTTCATTGGTCGTTCCTCCTGTCCAGGCCTGCGCCGATCGCAACTGTAATGGTTCGCACAATTGGGCCTCAATTCGGCGTTCGGCTCGACGTTGGTCGCCACGGCGCCGTCATTGTGGGAGCTTGTGGTGGATGTCGCGGTGGTCGTTGCGCACAATGGTGACGCACCAATAATTGCTGAACTTGCAGTACCCGAAATCGTGTGCTAGACTTGGCCGTCTCGGGTCGGAGCGGCGGCCTATGCCAAGCGGGTCTCCTCGATCTGGTAGTCGTGGATGTCGTCGTGGGCCGAAGCGGGGCGCGAGAGCAACCGTTCGAATTGTGGATGCCAGCGTGCTATCGCGGCCGCCCCGCTGAGGAAAGGCGGGCGACGCGCTTACCACCGCCTCGATGGAAGTCCTGTACCTCGCGGGCAAATTTTCGGGCGTGCGCGGCTTCCTCCTTCTCCTCCTCCTCCTCACCGCGCGCGCGTTCCCGCGCGTTCTGGTCGGGAGGGGTGACAAAAAGAAAAGCAGGAGGGCTGATCAGGGGGAGGGGGGAGGATGATGAGAAGGAAAGGGGAAGAGCAGAGTCAGGAGAGATGGGGAGGAGAGAGAGAGAGAGAGAGAGAGGGGAGCATCGACGGCTCTCCCTCCTCCTTCCTGCGCTACCCCCCCCTTCCATCTCCCTTCCCTCCCCCTCTTCCTCCTCTTTTCTCCTCCTCGATCCCCCAAACATGCGACATCCGGATTTTTTCAAGACCCGACCCTCTCCTCGTGGCCCGTTTTTCATTCCAAGTCGTTTCTTGACGATCCCGAGGCCTGGCGAAGGCCCGAGGCCGAAAATGGCCAAAAACCTCCCGTCCTGTTTCTGTTCTTTTCCACGACACGATCCTGTCTGGGCTTCCCTCCTCTATCTCCTCCTCGATCCTCCTCCTCCGACCCGACTGTCTTCCTCCTGGGCCGCCTGCTGAACAGCTGTTCGGCAGGAAGAGGGAGGAGAGGGGAGGAGAAAGGAAGAGGAGGAGGGGGAGGAGGAGGAGGAGGAAAGGGGGAGGAGGAGGAGAGGGGGAGGAGGAGGAGGAGGGGGAAGAGGAGGAGGAGAGGGGGAGGAGGAGAACGGAAGAGGAGGAGGGGGAGGAGGAGGAGGATCCCGGACTTGGCCGGCGGTGGCCTCCCGCAGCAGCGCCAGGAGGAAGTCCGTGTGCAGGCTCCGCTCGTGCGCCTCTCGGCGAGACGACAGCGACGACTACGACGACGACGGCGGCGACGACGATGGCGACGACGAGCGACAGCGACAACGACAGCGGCGAGCGACGACGACGACGACGACGACAGCGACGACGACGACGACCGACAGCGACGACGACGACGACAGCGGCGAGCGACGACGACGACGATGACAGTGACGACGACGACGGCGACGGCGGCGGCGGCGGCGACGACGACGACGACGGCGACGACAGCGACCGGTGATGACAACGACGACGACGACGACGACCGACGACGACGACGACGACAACGACGAGGGCGGTGGCTCCGCCCGTGTGCCTTCGGCGCGAACGGTCGGGATTCTGCGAACGCCGCATGATCTGCTGCTCGGCCTGCTGAAGATTTTGATGCTCTTCGGTCTTCTGGGGCCTCCTGGGGAGCCCAGGCCGCCATGGCTGGAATCGCCTCGAAACGCTGGCCCGCCTACTTTGAAACACGTTCGTTCAAACCCATGTTGGCCGGTGAGGGCCCCGAACAGTGAGTATGTGCAAGCTGTGGTGCAAGCTATGCGGTGCAATCAATGTGGTGAAAGCTATGTGGTGCAAGAGATGTAAATCAATCGATATGGTGCAAGCAATATGGTGCAGGCTGTGCGGTGCAAGCTGTGTGGTGCAAGCTGTGCAGTACGATCTCTATGATGGGAGCTATGAGACGCAAGCTATGTGGTACAACCTTTGCGAGGCGAGCTACGCAGTGCACCCAGCGCGCGAGGCGGCCGCGAATTGCCCACAGAGCGTCCACGGGTGGCCACTGGGCGAAGAACCCGGAGCCGCCAACCAACGCGCGGGACGCCCACGGGCGGCCACTGGGCGAAAAAACCGTAGCCGCAAAGAAGAAGGTACCTCACATTCAACCACTGTTTGGGGAACTTCGTGGACTTGAACAACCTGCCCCTTAACGCATGCTTTTCAACCGCCCTGGCACCGTGGGCACCAGCGCCAGGTTGGCGCAGGAGACACTCGCGTAACGAAACAGGTGGGCCCCCAGAGGGCACGTCTGCGGGGACACATCCTGCACCTCAATCGGGCCGCTCAGACAGGCGGGCCCCCAGAGCGCATTCTGCGGGTCACGAACAGAATGCCATGACATGTGAAGCGACCGAGTGGAAAGGATAAGGTGGCGCCAGCACCCACGCGCTTCGACGTGCCACCAACGAACCAAAGACAATGCGACACCACAAGGGCGCGAATTGTTGTCCGTCCGAAATCAAATACGTACCTCAATGAGCAACTGCCGCAATCGTCCAACATGCTTGCAAAGGCGTGCCGTATCAAACGATGGAAACGCACCTTGTGAACAACATTGGATCTAACTCGCAATATAGAATTCCAACGAACAACATGGACCGCGTCAGCCGTCCCCGCAGGGACTGCCATTGTCAAACAAGCGAGCAAACATCACTTACATTTTCACTATTACAGCGGCTTCATCTGACCCGATCCACGACATTCACAGGTGCGTAAGCGAGTTTTTCTTTAATATGGAACTGGGCAATCCTATGCGCATGGCTCGTCGGGTACGCAGGGAACAATCACGCGCAACTACACACAATGTTGCACGACCCTATTGTTTTGGGTGCGCACACTTTCAAAACGAGCCCTCAAAGAACACACAAGAACACAGCCAGATTGCAATGTCCGAATCGCTACGTCTTGTGCTCGACATGCATCGTTCGGGTGGCTCCCTTCTGTGGCGCTGGCCGCAGTACTCGCTGCCAACTGGGATCGCCGTCAGAAGCTTCGATGGCGCGGCGTCAGTGATCTCACGGTGGCCGCCACCGCGCGCTCGTTGGCTCGCGGTCGGCGAGCCAGTGGTAGTCCCTGGGACGCATGCGTCCTCGTTTTTTGTTGTTGTTTTCTATCCCCATGTGCATGTGGAATCACGCAGTGCTGCCTAGCCGCACCCCCTGGGTAGACGAGTTGCCGAATATGTCCCTCCCATGAGCTGCATGATCTACATGGGCGTCTACAGCGGAATGCTGCAGGAAGTGCGCTTCTGGAGAGCAAACACGGTCTGAATAAGTGAGACATCGGTAAGTAGAGACTCCCGAGAGTCATCAGGAGAAACGGTCGCCAACGTGGAGTCACATTAACTTGGCGTAGCTTGTGGTTGCTTGGGCAGGTAAATAGATAGCTTGCGCCTTGCGGGCCATGAAACGAGGTGTCATCATATATGGTTGTTGCGGTGTGCGCGACTCCTCTGTGCAACATCCTGCGTTCAGCAACGGATACTTGGGCAGACGGTGTGACGCTGGGTTCTGCGTGCTTGATCGTCGCATGTCTGGCGGCAATTTGGCAAGTTAAGCAACCGTAGCTGGTTTCTTTCTTTTTCGACTCGCCCTGTTGTACATGCTTTTATCTTTTCTATTGCTTGCGATTGTCCCACTATAACGGCCCGTGAGGCCTGTTCTATTCAGCTATACCCGTTTTTGGAGACTTGGTTTTTGCGTTTGGTGGGGCATCGAAGCAATGCCACTACAAATCTGCCAATCGCACGGCGCATTCCGCCATTGCAACTCCAAGAAACATTCAGTGATCATTCGGAAGAAAATAAACATTCGAACGCGTTTGAATTCTGCTGCAAACCTCTTCGAAATCAAACCGGGCCAACTTCGTGTGCGCTCGAACCAGTCACTTGCAACCAACACGCTCTTTGGGCGCACCATCTGGTATCATAGAAGAAGGCAAATAATGGATCGACCGTGAGTCAGGGGGTTGGAACGGCGGCCTCTACGGCACAAGACAATGGAAATCGTCACGAACAACCTCGCGAAACACCAACCTATATGAACATACAATCTCGCGCTCTGTCATCCGCGCTTGGCTACGCGGCGCCACCTACCTAGAATGGTTTGCAAACGACTCGCGCATGTGTAATCCTCCGTTTACCTAGCGGCAGCTTTTCTGCTCTGTCCAAGCCACTTGCACCTCGATTCCGATCACTATCGCACTACATGGCAAAATCTGGCCCGTTCGACCGCAAACTGTTGTGCGCTGTCTCGGACGCCGCTGGCCCACATGTTCTTGACCATCGGCCAGAAATCGTTCTCCGCCACCGTGCCTGCACAGAGAGGGCGTGTTAGAATGCTCTTCTGTTGTTGTCTGGAGGGCGTTTTACTCTTTTGTAGGGCCGACATCTCCCCCCATGCCTCGTGCCCGTCTTCAAAGCATCGATCTTCCTGGAGTCGCTTTCCAGCGTTCTCTTTGGCCTTTAGGCGGCCAATATGGCCTCCAAGACAACCAAAATGACATCAAGACGGCTCAACACGGCTCGATAAACTTCCAAGACGGCCGTCAACGGTCTCCGGGAGGCCCTCCGCGAGAGCCCGAAGTTGCAACACACATTGCTTCACCGTGAGCGTTTTTTGAAGGATTTCGAAATTCTCACTGGTTTGGGTTTCCGACATTCCAAGGTGACCCAAGAGGCCTCCAAGACAACTCCAAGGCGGCCCAAGAGGCTTCCAAGATGGCCCCCTCCAAGTCGGCCCAAGAAGACCCCAAGATCGCCCCAAGAGCTTCCCAAGAGAGCCCCAAGGCGGCCCTCAGGCGCTCCAAAAGGGCACCAGCACGGCTCGGAGAGGCCCCCAGAGTGGCCTCCGAAGGCGTCAGACAGGCAAAGAGCCCCCCAAGACGGCCCAAGAGGCCCGATGGCCCCCGAAACACACGACATACACCCGAGACCCTCCAAGTTACCCCCAGAGGGCCCCCCCCCGAATCCCCTGGAGTGTTGCACAAGCCCGAAGAGCCCCCAAGACACCTGTCCGACAGACGCGGAGGAAGTGGAGGAACACGAAGGCGAACCAGGCAGCAACCACTGCACGCAAACAGCACGCCTGGACGTGTCAACTCACACGCGCAACATTGGAAACCGCCAATATCATTCTGTGGGGTCGGCGGGATCGCGTAAGCGTCTTGATCAAATAATCTGATGTATTGTCGCCACCCTGTCGAGACCAGTATGCCAGATAACAAGTCGGGCTGCCAAACAATTTCATAATCGGGGGCGTCCTTCGAGGTTACGAGTTGGCGGGCCGTTGCCGAAACTGCTGAACAGACTTGGGAGAGGACCGTTGCCAGGGCCGTGTGTAAGCAAATCCGCTGGAAGCCTGTTTTGGCCAGTTAATCCACACCTTTTGGAGTAAGCTAACGGCTCTGCCACCAAACAGGCGTAGAACTCGCGCGGGCAGAAACTGCGTTTGTAACATCACACCCTGGCGGCAACGACGCACGACTAACAACATGTGGCAACTGCTTCGATTTACTTTACCGTGCATGTGGGGCACCAGGCGGGAATCTGCGGGACACCACGCGGGAGACCATGCGGGAAACCATACGGGTGCACATCACATCGCCGATTCCAGGGCCGTCGGCGGCGCCCCACTGGCCCTTCCCGCGAGCCACGTGCACGGCCCACACGGACCAGCTGTTCAGGGAACGTGAACTTGTACATTGGCTTGCTGTCTGGGACTGCGTGGTATCTGCTCGACTTAGCTGCCCCGACACGCACCACGCAACACGTAGCGTGTTGACAAGGAGCTCAACACGTCGACCGAACACGTACGTCTGACGCGATGCGTTCGCCAAAACGTGGGCCAATACGTTGAGCCAACACGCAACGCATCGACACGGACGTTTGGAACACGGTACGTGTTGCGTTTCAAAACGGGCGTCTCGAGGCAGCTAAGATGCCCCACGAACTCGTGCAGTCTCCGCCACCGTGCCCCCGTAGCTCGAAGTGGGGTGCCCCCAGGTCCCCTGCTCGACCCCTGAGCCTCGGTCCTCAGTCCTGAGGGTTCGTTTGACGGCCCTGGACCACGAATTCACAAATCCCCTGGGGCTTCCCGCGTGCCTCCTGCGGCTCCCCGCGTCTTGTCGCGTGACTTTTTTCTCGGAGCCAAGAAGGCCCCAAGGCGGGCCAAGAGGGTCCCAAGAGGCCTCCAAGACGGCCCAAGAG